GTTAGATCATTGCCACACAATGAAGACATCAAAGTATTTGCTGTTAGTTCAGGCAAGTACAAAAATTTCCAAAATTATGCTAATACTCCAGTCATAAGCAACACTAGTATTTTGGCTAAAAAGAATAATATCCTGTGCCCTCGTACGACTCCTCAAGTATAAACTCGAATGACTATAGAGTATCGGTGATATTAATCCGAAATAAGATGATGATTTCATAGAACAGAAAAACTTTGATATTGATGAAACTTTAAACTAGTGGTTAACAAATTAATGTCTGATTAAGTTACAGTTTATCTTCTGACATTAACTGAATACTTAATTTCCTTTGTATTTATGTTATGCTTGATTTGTTTCTTTTAAAGTGCACACATACATAGTAATTCATAATTCATTATATTGATTACTACGTTAAGTAATAATACTCTGAAAAAAAAGGAGGATATATCTGGTCATTAGTAAGTTGGAACTGGTTAATGAACGTGAATCGATCTTTACGTGTAACTCCATAATTTAATTCTATCTGTTAGTTAAATCAGTTAATTTATTGATTTCGTAAACTATGTACTTGAATGAAATTCTTGAGTAACTGAATCACAATTAATTCAAAATTACCTGTTAACGGGATATGTAGTGGCTGTGCTTCGTTGACTAATCACCCTGGTAACCGTTATCATATAATCGTCAACGCTGTTTGAAATCAGAAGGCAAAGAGAAGCAGCGACTAGAGTTTTATTAGCAGATAACTCAGACCACAAAGCCGTGAAGCGAACGAGTGAGTCAGCGAACCGATAATGTAGTGTTGAATGTACATGTATATATATATATATATTCCTTGTTTACAAATATACCTTTGAAAAAAACCATCGATATATTATGTGATTACATATCTGTAAACAATTTTCAATCACGTGTACCTGTAAAACTTCTGAAAGATTTACTATTATTATATACTGACAAAGTTCAGTTCACTTTTGAAGGTGAATACTTTCGTCAGATTGATGAAGTTGCTATGGATAGTCCGCTAGGACCATTATTAGCAGATGTGTTCATGGCACATTTTGAAAATCAGACTGATGACCTAATCGGAAACATGTCACTTTATAAGAGATATGTGGACGATATCTTAGTTGTTTGTGAGAGAAAAGAGGATATGAACCGTTTAGTAAATAAACTTAACACTCTCCAAAACCATATTAGTCTCTCATGTGAAGAGGAGAAAAACGATCAGCTTCCCTTCCTAAATATACTTCTGAGTAGACGAGATGGCTCAGCCAAGCGATCTATTTTTAGAAAACCAACGTGGACAGGTCAATATCTTAGTCATTATAGTTACTGCCCTGTGCAATACAAACGTCGTTTGATAAGATGTCTTTTCAACAGACTCGACCGTATTTGTACCAATGACGCCATTGATGATAATGTTAAGTTGTTGAATGAAACGTTAATAGAAAATGGTTATCTTCCGAAATTCATAAATAGATGGAAAGTCCATGGTACAGCGAGACCTACTGTAGCCTCGGTAGAGAAAAAGCCTGTCTACATCACCTTACCATTCAGAGGTGATTGAAATAGCCTTTTATTGAAACGACTTAAATCAGTCATCAATAAAACCTATTGCGCAGCAAAGGTCATCATCAAAGAAAGAACAAGGTGCATGCTTCATTCAAAACCTAAAGTACATGGAAACGATTGCGTCACATCCCACTGTGTTTACCAATTTAAATGTGTGTGTGGTCACACATACATAGGGAGGAGTAATCGTGATCTCAACATTAGGGTGAGTGAACATGTACCCAATTGGCTTCAGAAGCAAATACAATCAAGTGACCCAATAAGAGCAGTGGATAAACATCCATCATCCTCTATTGCTAAACATATAATTGAAACAGGTCACAAGATTGATCTAAATTCAGCTTTTGTAGTGTTGTATAAAAGGGCGTATACTAAGGTTTATTGAAGCCTTAGCCCCCTTTGTGTGTTCGAAAACAGTTTGTTCTTACCTTAAACCTACCCTGGTAATATTGACTTATTATCCAGAGTGATTAGGTTTCGCTTTGTGTTTCACATTATTAGTATTATTATTACTCTTATCATTATCCTTATCTCCTCTTACCCCATTTCCAGTCTATTTGACCTTTTATTTTCTATATATAAATGTTCTTAACAAGTATATGTGTGATCAGATTGTTCGAAATATATTGCGCTAATATATCACACATAGTTCTGATAATCTTCGTCTTCTAATATCATTATCGTAACTATTGAGTCTCATAATTTTAAAGAAAAATATTGATGTTTTTGAAATCACTTTTGAAATGATCTTTTAATAAAATATCCATTAAATTAAATGCTTCAGAAATAATTAAAAAAGATTTGGCAAGTGACCAGGAAAAAATAGACTTCAAGTTCTCTTCCATGCAGATTGGTATCTGACTTTCAACAAAAAACCACTTCTACATTAAAATTGTCTAATCAATTTAATGGTAATATTGATTGCCATTTGATGAATGTTATTACTATTATTGGTTAAACGTGTAAAAAAAACCCAATGGATAATGAATATTGATTATATTCTATACCAATCTTACAGCCTTATACGACCAGAGCTTTACTTATGATTAACTTTAGCTATACCTACTTATAAGTAGTCTGACATGATTTCACAGACTAACATTTTTCATAGTATTATTTACTTAAATGAATTTTATCAGAATGAGTTTTGTGGAGATCACCAGTGGAGTTCAACCAGGTCTGTTGTGAGATATCAGCTCACTGAAGACATTGGTGTTCGATGGCGCAACTTCGTGGATTGGTTGAAGTTAGACATTAACACCGTTGGATGCCGGCTCAGTGGTCTAATGGTTAAGTGCTCGCGCGCGAAGCCAGTAGGTCCTGGGTTCGAGCCCCGCGTGGTGCGGGATCGTGGATGCGTACTGCTGAGGAGTCCCATACTAGGACGAAACGGCCGTCCAGTGCTTCCAGGTTTTCAATGGTGGTCTAGCTTCAACTGACTCATGATTTCAACTTGTGAAGTTAAATGAATTTTAACAATCTATTTAGTTTAAAGATTGATCTCGTTCATAAATTTAAATATCAGAATGTCTATTTTATAATTGAAAAAATGGTGGTGAAATACTTCCCCCATCTACAGATCATGTTACCATGGTGTTATGGATCTTATTATTTGTAATAATAGGAATCATATAGCACCGTTAAGTTACTAGTTCAATAAAACACATATGAACATCAAGTTGACTATAATGTATGAATATAATCGCCAACTACACTGTTTGGATCTGAACACCTGAACAATAAAACAACTGAGAAGACCTTATTTAGTAGGCAAACGTGAGTGGGACAATATTTAAATCATAATAGTTGTTGTATTGTAAGTTTCTAACGTTGCCTATTCAAAACCCTATTTTAAAAATGGAGTTGTGGGGATTAGTAAATTTCATCTAAAACACGAACTAATGGAAGTTAGACAACTATGGAAAACCTAATAGCACTAGACGACTGCTTCTTTATTGTATAAGACTCCTCAATAGTGAGTACCTACGTCTCAACACTCTGAACTCGAATCGAGGACCTTCGGTCTTACGCCCCTAACCCATAGATCACTGAGCTGTGCCCGCATGTGAAACCGAAGTTGTTGGGATCAGTTCCTGGGTACGGGATCGTGGATGCGCACTGCTGAGGAGCCCCACACTAGGGCGAAAATGCCTTCCAGCCCATCCAAGTTTCTAATGGTTGTCTAACTTAGATCAGTTCATGATTCCAACTAATGCCCCAATGAACAGGGTTTGAGGATTTGTATATAAAATTCATGCAGAAATGTGGATATCCATAGAAACTAATATTTACGGAAAGTCCTAAATGAACAACTGTTGGCGATAAACCATTATTTATCCATCTTGCATTCACATGTGAGGAGATTTCAGGTAGAAGTGATCTAAAGATCAAAGCAGAGCCAAAAATAATGTTTTTGGTATATAATACCTGGTATTATTTAAACCAATCAAAAGTATATCAATATCTTTCTGAAGTCACCTCCAAATGTATAAATTAGTTTACATGTACTTGTAGAAGCAAGTACATAGGAAGCATTGAAATAAGAACATCTACACATATTCCCTGAAAATTGTTTTAACGAAAGTATAGTATTCACAAGTAAGATCACTAGACATTCAATGAATAATGTACACAACTTGGACATAACAAAGGTATTCAAATTAATTAACAAGCAATAATTACCATTTTTGCTCTGTTTTACAAATACTAGTGCCATCAAGTCTTTTTGACTTGACTTTTATATACAGAATGAAAGTGTGGTAAACTTGTGATTGTCATGTTGATGCTTTTCAGATACATTATCTCTTTAATATGGTCCAGTAGGTTAAGCGTTCGCGAGAGATACTGAAGGCTTTGGGTTCGAATCCCCCGAGCAGGATCGTGGATGCGCACTGCGGAGGAGTCCCACAATAGACTATATAGTTGAAGTCAATTAAGCGATATCGTGTGACCATTATATTTCGTTTGAAGTGATATCTATCTCACTCCTGACAAAGTTGAACTCCACCGATGATCACGACTCGTCACACAAGAATTCAGAGATCTATCACCAAGATGGTCACTAATCAGCACAATATTAGTACTAGTATTATTATGATTAGAGGAGAGTTATGACGAACATTCCATCCACAAACATCTGTTTCATCAAATACAGTCTAGTTTTCATTGTTTCTGTACATGTAAAGCCGGTTTATGATGAAAAACTTATGATCGGGAAAAAACTGAGAATCAACTCATTCCATGCTAATACATTTCTTTCGAAGGTAATTACTAACAAAAGAGTTGGTTTTATTCTCAATTTGTTTATTCATCGGTTAAATTAACAACATTAAACAAAACAAGTTACATGATAAAGAAAAATGAGAATAAAAAGATAGATTAAGTCATCACAGGTAATGGTTACAGAGATTATTGAAAGACAAGTACTACTGTTCTATTGTGTAAAGATCAATCTGACCATTCTGAAGGCAGCACATAATCCTCACAGGATCTTTATTGAAAGTGACCAATTTCGTAATATGCTCGCCAGTTGGATAAATTTTGATCTAACCCAATAAATAAAATAAAACAAACGCGTGAAAATTTTTAAAAATAAATTGAAATGACAAACCACTAGCTTTTTCAGTTTGTGTCATTCTTAACTCCTCCTGGAGCCACTCTGGGACTACTGCCAATCCCAAGGCTGGATGAAGGGTTAGCGACCTAATCCCGTAGAAAACTAACTCGCTAAAAAAACGCTAACCACAAAAAAACAATTCAGACACGGCGGTGTTTCATTCGTTTATTATAAAAGTCACTTAAAATAAACAAAGAAATTGCACTCTACAAAATATTCTAAAATATATTCCACTATAATTAAGCATACAGTCACCATCACCACACACACAAACACACAGACACACACACTGAACAAAGTGCAACCTACTACTTCTAAAATGGTGAGTAGGCAGATTTTTAGAGAAGTTCGGGATCACAAAGATCAAGTGTTAAATATATTTATGCATCGAATCAAACTTTGAATGTATGTTTTTACCGAGAATCGATCACGAGAATAGAAAGAGGAGGCTGCAAAACGAAGGAGGAATACATTAGAAACGATATAATGTATGTATCAACATAAATCACCACACTACACATTAGCAATAGCGACAAGCAACTGATAGAAAGAGGATCAATGAAGTGGAAATCGTATATTGTCGTTAATATTGTTACATGTCTATGTGATTGATTCTGACTTTTGAACAGATGAGTTATTCTAATGTTTTCTGTCATTCTGTCACTTATGCATATGACCTTTATCATATTATTCAAAGTCCAAAAGTTCACAACCTTACATAATAGCTTACCATAGTAATTTATTAACCAAGCCCTATAATTAATATTAGGTACTTGGTGGTTCCACTATGTCATACTCAAGATATTTATGATTACATACCAGTAACCCATGTACCCACATATGTCCTCCTCTTCCAGAGGCTATGTACTACACATAGAAACACAACAGTTGTGAAGATATTGAGGTACAATCATAGTTAGGAAGTTTTGAGATCTTCCATTGGTATTGTTATTATCTCACCCTTTGGTGAGTACATATCTTGTATATTACTTTAAATACTACACATTTATCACATGCTTAAAATTTGACCATGGAAAATTATCTGAAATACCATAATACAAGTGTGTATTTGTGTAAAGTACATTTTTAATCAAGTTGACATAAATTAACTATCAAATAGATGATTTTGTCAAAATCCCAGAAAAAAGTTTAATATAAAGATCATATGTTTGTGGAATAAGGATAACGTTATGATGCTTAAAATGGTGAGAATATAATTTATAGACGACCTCTGGGAGATGCTAAAATAAACTTGAGAATGTTCGCTTACCAACTAGGACTAAGTGAGGGTTATAAACCAGTGTGAGGAATTAGGATTATAATTTACAGTTGATGGTTAGGGTTGGGAATTAGATTTACGGTTTTCATCACGAACTGACATAGTCTATAATGCCAAAACTCTATTTAGCCAAATGGATGAATGCTTTTCACGCAAAAATTCGAGACTCTTTATTTTAAATCTGATTATTTCGTCCATCAATTATAGTCCCGCCGCTTTTGAATCTACCGTTTGATTAAAATACTCATATTGCAATATGAAACATACGATAGAAATAAGGACAGTGATTATTCACTTCTTACCTGTTCCCATTTGCTTAGTTTCGATTTATTACAAACATTGATAGAACATTTCAACAAACGTAGAAAGCTATCCGACGTTGCCAACAATAAATACACTATTAAATTTTCACTATCAAGATGAGTTGAAGTGATACAATAAGCAGTGACTTGTAGATCCATTCCTTCCAGCTAAGGATAAACACAGATACAATGTGATTATTTATGACCAGTAAAATTTGAAATAAACAATTCAAAATACCTCTTTATAAACTTTCCATCAAATAGTAAATTTATTTGGTGTGACATTGGAGATTAAAAAGTACTAAGCAGCTTCTTCATTTTTTGGTTGACGATTGATTCCTTAGTGAAAAGCATCAGTGATCGCTCCAGAAATTAAATTCACGAGTTTAAAGTGTTTCTGTAGAGTTTATTATCAAATTTGACCATTGATTCATTATATGTATCATGTTGTGGAGATAGTTGAATTCCATTGAAATTATGAGCTGATTTAAGTTGGATCGACACTGAAGATCTAAATGTACGGGATGGCCAATTCCTACTGGCACGGGACTCCTCAGAAGTACAGATCTATGAAACTAACACCAAGGTCTAGACGCTAAGCGTTCACGCGTGGGACAGAAGATCGTGGATCCGACTCCCACGTGCGCAGTCGTGGATATGCACTGCTGAGGAATCCCATATTGGGACGAAACGGTTGTCTAGTGCTTCTATGTTTTTAATAGTTGTTTAACTTGGATCAATTCATGATTTCAATGAAATTCAATAATCTACATAACCCTATATCTACAATTAAGTAACATAAACAATGTTCAGAATAAAATAATTATATATTATATCTATTTCTAATAATATTAACACAGATGAACTGAACTTTCTCACATTGTAAAACTATCAGGTTATGTACCCACCTACACATTCATTCAAATATCATAATGACGTGATATTAACATGACCAGACTTGTTTTGATTGTAGTAAAAAACAAACATTAATTGAACCTAAGTTCATCTATTTCTAATGTATAACACTCACTATAAGCAAATATAGATAGTGGCTAGCAGTGGAATCCAGGACGCGTGTTTCGTCCTGTTTGGAACTCGTCAGCTGGATGTACCTGCGTCTCAGAGTTGATGTTCACTCTGGGACTCGAACTCAGTACCGTTCGCTTCAAACGCCATCGCGTTATCCACTTAGCTACTGAGTCCTGATAGCCACATGCTTGTGCAATGGGGTGAAGTTTAATTCACTTGATATTATTTTACTTGAATCTTCCCATTGATGTTTTAAGACTGAAATTGATCAGTCTCTTATTGGCATACGTCCATACTGTGCGTATGTCTCGATATTGCCTTAATTTACAAGCGTTATAAGCAAAGATGGATAGTGGCTAGCAGTGGCTATCAGTACTCAGTAGCTAAGTGGATAACGCGATGGCGTTTGAAGCGAACGGTACTGAGTTCGAGTACCATAGTGAACATCAACTCTGAGATGCAGGTACATCCAGCTGACGAGTTCCAAACAGGACGGAACACGCGTCCTGGATTCCACTGCTAGCCACTATCCATCATTGCTTATAATGCTTGTAAATTAAGGCAATATCGAGGCATACGAACAGTATGCACATATGCCAATAAGAGACTGATCAATTTCAGTCCTAAAACATCAATGGGAAGATTCAAATAAAACAATATCAAGTGAATATAACACTCACTGTTTACTACAATCTATATATTACATTGTGATTATGCTCATAGCTTATTAACAAGGCATCTAAGAACATTACTAGAATTATGAAAAGTTCACTTCAAATCTATGTTCAAACAAGTCATAGTAACTATTGAAAAGAATTTCTTGCTCTACTTTTATGCGTAAACAATAGTAACTAACCGAAATATTCAATAGCATATGTTCATCACTATTAAAGAAGATAATCCGTGGTTCAGATTGTAATTTGCTTGTTACAATATAAAATCTAAATGAACAAAAAAGAAAAAAACAAAACAAATAAAGTCAGTTTGCCAAATTATAATGTTGAGTGTAAATATGAAATTTAACTGGAATGAGAACGTTCAGTCATTTTTTTCTCCCTTCTTTTATCTACAATAAACAAAGAAAAATTGGTTCCTTTACGCACTCTACACAAATCTCTATTTCATTCATCTGATAAACCTTAGTATTGTATGTCGATAATAAAGAAAAGATGATAGATCAAGTGTATAGCTATTACACAGTGTATTAACGAGCAACTACTGCAACACACATTGGGGATACTGAACAGCATAATACATAATCATAAATAGTAGACTATAAATATGGTAGTTAAATTTAGTCATATTACTTGAAGGAATAGATGAACACGTCTCGGATTGTGAAGCTGAGTGACAGAGGATTGAATACATCAGGAATCACCGCTTACTTTAAGATTCAATGTACACCTTGCTGTCCAGTGCCGAATAGAATGAAACCTAGAGCCAAGGTTTACTGTCGGCTCAGCTTTTTGTACTTACGATTATGCATACCTTTTCTATACAGTTTTAAACGTCATAAGAAGCCATTGATTCCATTCATTATTCTCTGATATAACGGCTGAATAAAAATATTTACTATTTCAGCCTGTTACATTACACTAACACAATAATACGGCCGGTGAACGAGGTTTTACTACTACTAGTCTGGATACTCGATTGCTAAGCTGTATATTGACAATATCACGTTATAACAAATATACAAATCACAATCAATAATACAGAATCGGAACATATGCTGGACAACACTATATTCAACACAATGACTAACAGTCACACTCAGTGAGTCCAAAGTAGAAAGCAATAATAGGTAAGAAACCAAAAATTAGGTAGTCAACAAGATAGGTATCTATCTATTCACCCTAAATGGTCAGTCACATCTATTTTCACTGTCCACATATACTAGGACGAGACGGCCGTCCGATGCCTCCAGGTTTTCAATAGTTGTCCAACTTACATCAGTTCATGACTTTAATGAAATTCAATGGCCTACACAACCTTTTACTGAAAAACATTCTTTATGCTTAATTACGAAGTAAGTTCATGACAAATATTTCTATCCATTTGTTTCACAATTTTCCATTTTCTTTCTTCTAGATATACTACTGTATAAAATGGAACAACTTGTTAAAGGTACTCTACATTGTTTATCATCCACATCAGTGTTATAAATTAGTTTTAGTAGGTGTTCAAAACAATGGTGTAAATATATTTTTGTAAGAACAAAATGAAACTTACAACTTGAAACTATTTCCGTTAGGTAAACAAAGTGGTTCAATTCTGTCAATATAGATATTTTCCAAATTATTGATAGATCCACGAAGTGGTGTGAACACATTTGCCTAAAATTTTATACGTAAGTATAAATGATAATTATACTTAAACTAAAAACAATTCAAATGTATGAGAAAAAAAGACATTCGGTTCCAGATGTCCAGTTCGAATTCTATTCAAAACATTATCACATATGTGTATGATCTTGGTGCATTTTCATGAGTATCATTGCATTAAAAATACTACATAGTAATTAAATCTCTTAGAAACAAATCAGTATCCTTGTTGAAGTCAACTCTGAATATATTCACGAATTTCTATGTATTTGTTGGATATAGTTTTCGGGATATGCTCACTAAGACTTACTCTTTACAAGATGCAAAATCTTAAACATTTGACTATCAATCAGGGCCATTGATGAACAAAGAAAATAAACAGAAAGAGAGACTTTATATTTATGGATGAATTAATCAAATATAAGATAACAGGTCTTGGATTGTAGCACGAAATTCATTCATCCATTTGGCTAGATAGTGTTTTGGTATTTTAACTGATATCAGTTTGTGATGAGAACTCTAGATCTAATTCCTCACATTGGTTTATAGCCCTCATTTAGTGATAGTTAGTAGGTGGATATTCTCAAGGCTACTTTCGAGTCGCTCAAAAGTCGTCCATAAATTATAGTTTCACCGTAAATCCTACTGAGAGTTTATAGACTAATTTACATATGTAGAAATGCCATTACATAGTAGCTAAATTTACAGAGTTTGCTAAGTACACACGTCAATGTTCAGTACTGAAGAACTGTTTATTTTCTTCTGTAATAAACTACGCGACATTCTACTAAATGAAATCAGCTATTGGGTCTTAACTGAGATGAATTGTGAAAGTAGAGAACACGTGTCACTTACATAAACACAATATAAATCACCAAGTTATATACTGAGTTAAAACAACTACGTAATAAGCGATATTACTTAACTCTTCGTACAATAAGTTGTAGCATAGATTTGAGCATTTTGAATTAAATCTAGTTAAATTAATAATTATAAAAGAAATAAGTATTATACATAGAATATCACTTACACTATGACCATCAAATGAATGAAATAAAGCTGATCCATTATGTGCTACAAGTATACCATCCTGATATGTACATAATGAACTGCACCAATGACTTGAAAGATTACAGCTAAATAAAATAAATATCATGTAGCAATACACATTCTAATAACATGCATTATTCTAAATAAGCAGAAAATTTCTAAAAGTAATAGAATGGTAAACAACAAACCAATAACAATTAGTGAGCATTGATAGTTTCAATTATGATTAAAATCAGTTAGTCTCGGAAAGCATTCACTTGAGTGACAATCTTTCATCATCATTCTAAATTGAATCCCTAAATCACGTTGAATATACACAAACTCAATGGAAGTATTTGTTTTTATACAAGTAAAGAGTTGTACAAGAAACACCTATTTAAAACTCTATCATGCAATCAAACCCAAAATCATCAGGTTTCCTGACGAATGCTTTACATTGCGATAATCATTTTTCATATGAATTCCTAAAATGTTATTCGGAACTGGTGAAAATTTTAGTATATATATATATATATATATATATATATATATATATATATATATATATATATATATTCGATCTATGTGAAAGCTAGACTACTATACGGGCACTCAAACCGAAGCACATGGTTTACTTAGGGAGCCACATCCCGAGCCTTCCACTTGAAGATCTAATCCACAAGGTAGTGGAACAACTTTGGGAGATGCAATCTCATGGTAACCAGTGACCAACAATAGGTTCGTACACCGTTCGTTCCTTCACGATACTGGAGCATATGTGCACCATTTGTTTGAAATCAGGGTTTTCCAACTCTCCTAGGTGGATCCTCAAGATCGACGAATCCGGTTGAAGTACCAGACATTCGCCTTCTGTCCTCTCGATTTGGTAAACAACACCGTCGCCACGAAAAGGCAGTGATGAGTAAGACTTCCCTAGCAGAGACTGTATACGCATGGTCATGTAAGAGCATTTCGAGAGAGTGAAATGACTCTCCTCTCCCTCGGCCATATCAAGGCTTTCAAGATATCGTAAACAACTTCGTGATGCATCTTAAAATTAAAATTTTCAAAGACGATGATCATTTATGTTACTTTATGATTCGTTCGTTTAATTATTCAAATTAATGAAACTTAACTATTCACGATTATATTCTACCTTGGAAATTACGCACATCATAGTTTAATTTCACTAACACTGAAACTAATCAGCTACATAAATACACTTAACCAACACAATAAATAATCAATTTGATCTTTATTTCAGTTATTAAATAGATCAAACATAAAACTACTACAGATTGATGATGATGATGATGATGATGATGATGATGATGATGATGATGATGATGATGATGATGATGATGATGATGATGATGATAAGTCAATGAGAATGATTCATTTAGCTGTTAGAGAGAGAGAAAAGAAAACTCCATAATGTTACTAACATAAACAACAACAACAACAACAAATCGTGAATGAACTTTGATTTTCTTTCCTTCTGCTTTTGCTTTGAAAATATACTTTTTAAATAATATGGTAACACAAAACTGTGCTGAATTCTTTCAGATAATGGATTACTTAGTCACTCAAGTAAATGGTACATTTTACCGTTATTAATTATCTAAATATGATATAAATTATATAGCTGAAATAATAAAAAAATGTTCTCTATGAACTTTAACGAGAATCACAAGAGTTTCATAATACAGTATGGAACAAAGTGTGTTTGCAGTGACTCATTTGAAATACCTACAATGTATACTTATCTACTCTTTTTTTTGTTTTTACTACACGATAACTATTCAATATTTCAACTCTAATTTACTCAAGAACTTTGTAACCTTGTATACAATATATTTTCACAGACCTATTATCACATCATGGACGCGCACTGCTGAGGAGTTTCATACGAGGATGAAACGGCCATCCAGTACTTCCAGGTTTTCCATGGCGGTCTAGCTTCAATTGACTCATGATTTCAACTATTGAAATTACTAAAATCTCCACAAAACCCCTTCTGATATTATCACATCTGTTACATAGATGTATGTGTGTGTATGTTGTATAATTCTTTATCTTATCCGCTGCATACGCTTATTCGTAATTGGTTTATCTGTTCATATAAATTTTCAAAATATGTTTCCGGAACACTCGTATTCCAACAGTTGATAAACCCTTGTTGTTCTAAGCGTGTTAAGTTGACAAAATATACATGACATTAGTAAGGATCTATGTTTCATTAGTATCATCATTCGTCAGCTTATGGAGTCAACATCTATCTGTTAACCTGAATTGCCATAATACATCAGTAGAACCAGATGAAATTAATAAGGAAATTAAAATCGCCGGCAGGAGCAATAATAGTAAGAAAGACTAAGCTTAAAGAATGTAGTTCGAGAGGATGGAATGGGAAATTAGATAGGGAGAATTATCATGACTTACGATCGAGAGGAGGAAAGAGGGTGAATGTGTTAGCACAACTCGAAGACTCTACATACTAATATTTAATATTTAAAATCAAGTTAAGATTAAGCTAGTGAAAGTGTGTTCATGATAAAAGATTCACTATCAATGAACAGTGAAACATGTAAAACAAAAGTATGAGCATGGAATTTAACTGATTATTAGTGAATATATAAAAACAAATGAGCTATCTATGGATAAGCGGCATAAAAAATGCTGATATGTAGATAAAAATTTACAACGTAAAATAAAACGAAAAGAAATCCACTTACTTATCTCCAACACGAAGGTGAATGAGTTCATCGTCTGTACGTTTAAATGGAATAATGACAATTTCACCATTGGACAAAAGTGCTACAACACCACACTGATTCATATTAACTGGTTCATGATGTAAAGCAGACATTTCGACAACGATATGGTCTGTTTTAAATCTTTATCGAGAAAAGAAACATGATAACAAAATCACAAGGATGATGGAAATACTTTAAATAATAAAATGATACAAATAACTACATTTCGTTATGAGAAATGTAACTTATTTATTAAGTCAAGACATTTGTATCAAGCCATAACGTTTATGTGAGGATTAGTGTTTTAATACTCGGGCATCTATAGCTAAGTTGCCAGAATAATGTTTGAACTTCAAACCCAACGGCTGAAAAACAAATAATTCTCCCACTCATTAAGTCACTGTTCTATATCGACATATAAAAGAAACATTTAAAAAATTAGTGTCTAGGTTAGAAAAAATGTCTGCATAAAAGCTACTTCATTCAATGAGTTAAACATTGAATTAAACAAAATCCAACTTAATGTCTTTAAGTAAAAGACAATGTTTGTCTGCACGAAATATAAAAAGATGGTTAATTTTTTCAGATAAAACTCTACTGAAAGAAAGAAGCCACAATTAAGTAAATTGAATTCATTGAATATACTCTATTAGTTCATACTTGAATCAAACCATTGTAAGTGACTGTACTCAATAAAGCAAGGATGAAGAATAGGAAAGCAATAAGGATACGGAATATCCACGACAGCGAAGAAATAAGTATTATACGTTGCATTATAGGGTATTAAAACAAGCATTCTGTACTATTATTAATATCTATCAAGTGACTGACACCCCTCTAGTCTATAGGAAACTGGAATTTGAAAATGAGAGAAATAAATATGACTGAATTCCACAAACCATAGCAACATTTCTCATTGTCTGGCTGTCTAAATGTGAATAAATATTTATTTCTAAGTATATTAATGACAAACATAGTTTGCACCGTGTTTGAATTACAAAAAATACTATGAGAGTGAATGAGTAAAGTAGCTGTGAAAATCTGTCTCAGGTATGCACTCATGAAACAGTGAGACACATTGAGAATGTCATTAAAATCATAAACTGACCCAAGTTAGAAAACTATTGAAAACCTGGAAGCGCTGGACGACTGTTTCGTTCTACTATGGGACAACTCAGACGTATGAATCCACGACTTCATAAGCAGGGGATGAGTCTGCGAACTTCAGTCTCGTGCACCACCGCTTAACCTCTAGATAGCTAGTCGCGGGTAGGAGTGGTATCCGGAAGTACATATTTCAATAAATATTATAACGTTACCTTTGTATTTCAGCATAACCATCAATTGTTTTAATTGACCATAATGCATTTAATTCAACAATATTTATATCCAATTGTTTTCCATTTGAAAATAGCTCTAATAAACTATTTTCCAAACCAGTTTTATTAATTAAAATATCACGATTAAGGTGTATGTGCAACATTAAAATCTCATAACCGAAAGCAATAAAAATGAAATAATCTATTTTATTTTCTTCATTATTCATTATCCATGATTGTGTAACAATACTGTTTATACTGTATCTTGGTTTCATATCTGAATTAGTTAAACGTATCAATGGTTGATATGTAGTGGTAGCAGTAGTTATAGGTTTGATTGATTGAGAAGTTGATGAACCACGAGCAGCCCAAATAATACAATCACCATCCACTGAACCAGTTATACAAAGTTGTAAATTCTTTGTCACATACAGATAATTAGCACATATAACTGGTCCAGTATGTTGAAGAGTTGGTTTACCTGAAGAAAACACGTAGGGGTAACATTGTGAGATTT